TGAAATAGGCTGGTATTATTTTCCGTGTAGTATTTCCGACTGAAGCGATTTAATACGTATACAAAAAAATAGTTGTCCACAGAGACCGACAACTTAAGTGACATGAAAGTTTGTTCTGCAGTAACTTCTTTATCTGTTAGTCTAGACAGACTACAACTAGTACCAAACACGAGAGTGCATCGGCAGCCAAATAGAAGTGATATATAATGAAACACATGTTACTTAAATTTTAATAGATCATCAAAAAGTTTGGTCGAATGTCAACTACCTGTTACATGTTTTAACTGATTCCGTTGCTGCACCCACTGATCCAGGTCTAGTTGTTGAATTTTATTCACGCTTTCCATTTAATTCAATGAATTATGCATATAACAACCATAGCGACACGTTATTCATTTTCCCATAGGTGTCTTCGATCCATTGCTTGTATATCATGGAATAACCGAGTAAGCAATGCTGTCGTTAAGATAACAGTATTAGGTAGGTGTGGAAAATCAATAGATGAGGTATTAAAACCTCACCAGTTGATATGGTTGGGAAATGTGTTACCAGTGTCCAACTACCGACTGCCTCGTCGAGCTATGTTTGGCGGTGTAGTAGTAGCTAGGAAGAAAACTAGGGGCGACCAAACCAAAAACATGGCTCGAATCCATGAAGTCACTGACAAGTGAACTAAGTCATGTTGATAGATGTAGGCTACCTGTTTGGGGTTCGCGAGACGAAAGTAACCGATGGTTAGAGACCTTGAATGACATGGCTCAAAAAACGTTTGCAATGGTGCAGGTGCATCCACTCGCTGTGTTCTAAGAAATTTTAATCTTCTGAATTCTACATCACCTCTATCTTTCTCCTTAAAAATTTATTCGATTACCGGTAATACTTTTACTATCGCTACCACTAAAGGACTATCGCCTCTATGTGCTAATGTGTTATGGCAGCCTGAACGTACGTATGTACGTACGAAGTTGTACGTTGTAGTTGACTGATTCCATAGATGAGTAAATGAAAGGAATTAACAGCAGAAATGATACTGTCCGAAATATAGGTTTAGGTAATGAGTAAAGATACGTCTAATGCAAACGTCGAAATCCTAGTGAACAACTATTAAGTCCCTGAACTTAGTGAAGAATGTTGATATTTGTGCTGGGTGTTATTAGTTCTAACCGTCAATCATCAAAAAATGATTCTGATTCAACACATCCAGTTTCGAATATCCTCGGGTGACTTTCTGTGTGTATAGAATGGGTTACGATGTGTGGATAATCAGTGAGTTTTCAATGAGAACGCAATGTGATCCACCTCAACCAATTGATCGGATAGACTTAATCTGATTTCTTTTGTCAATTTTTTACATCAATCAAGCACATAGCACAGAAAATTATTGTGATCCCTTTGGTCGGTCATTTATAACGTAGATTTGTGTACGTGCGTACATACTTACGTACATCGGTTCAAGCTGCCATACCACATTAGCACAGAGACGCAATTGTCAATTGAAATTCCATAGTAGTAGAAGTGGTAGAAGTAATAACAGTAATGGGGAAGACTAAGCTTCTAAGAAATTAATCATGAAGGATACTTCAGTGGAAAAGAGAAAAATAGAGGTGATGAGGAATTCAGAAGATTAGAATTTATGAGAACACGCAGAGTGGATGCACATGCGCCACTGCAAACTATTTTCAACCATGTCGTTCAAAGTCTCTAACCATCGGTTACTGTCATCTTGCAGAACCCAACCAGGTAGTCTATACTTACCAACATGACTCTGTCCACTTGTCAGTTTTAACTTGAAATCATGGGTGAATCATTGTTGGGCCATCATTTGAAACCTGGAAGTACTGAAATATTGCGGTTTTTTCCTGGATGGCAGTGCGCATCCACGACTCATGCCACTCACAGGATTCTAATCCTATACCTTCGGTCTTGCACATGAACGCCTAACCTCTGGACCACTGAACTGACCGGCATCCAACAGTGTTCATATCTAACTCTAATCAATCTAAGGATTTTGAGCGATCTCATCCATTTGTCTTCACCAGTTACTACCCACACCTGACAGCGTTGAACTCCACTGGTCATATGACTTCTTACTAGAACTCCGAGAATCACCTCACGAAACTAATCACACCAGGATGCACATTTCAAGCTAAAACTAATGGTGGTCTAACAATGATTGATTGATGATTTCAAATGTGTAAAAACACAAAACCTCCAAAACTCTGCCCCAAAATATCGTAACAGTGCTCACTAGTGACTAGCTTCGTGAGGAAATTCTCGGAGTTCTAGTTGAGAAGATGTGACCAATGGAGTTCAACCCTGTCGGGTGTAGGCAGTAACTACCAAACACAAACGGGTGAGGTCGCGCAAAATCTCTAAATCAATCAGAGTTGGACATTAACACCGTTGGATGCCGGCCCATTGGTCCGGTGGTTAGGCGCCCGTGCACAATACCGAAGGTCCTAGGTTCAAAACCGTGCGGGGTGAGGGAGTCTTGGATGCGCAATGCTGATGAGTCTCGTACCAGGACGAAATGGCCGTCCTGTGCTTCCAGGTTCCTAATGTTGGTCTAACAATGATTGATTGATGATTTCGAATGTGTAGAATGAACACTAATCTCCATAACTCTGCCCTAAAACCACTATATCCATTACACTGCTAAACGGAAAACAATTAGTCATGAATATTGTTTATTCTTATCTCCTACACTGTAATTATCACTCAATTTGACATTTATTTTTAAGTCTTGTCAATAATGATGAGTTTTATTCAGTGTATAGTAAATTACTGATTAAAAATTGATCTGTAAATTGCATAAACCAATTCCTAGATTGGATATTAACTTACTAAACGATTTCATGTATGATTGACCATCTAATTATTTCACAGTGTTATTACGTAACTGTATTAGTAGTGCTTTGTGATTATTATCTATCCGTATTTGACCTACTACTTCTAATATTGAACTGTTGACTAGAACTTTTGTTCATGTTCTTATCACCTGCTGCCATCCTACTATCCAACTTGTACTTTTCACTTATTCATGTATAGTTAGTTACGTAATCTATTTCGTTGACTCATAAATTGCCTTGATTGGTTATCAAAGTATTCATGTATGTTAGAGTGTAAAGTCTGATGACGATCTAATTGAAGACACTATTGTTTGCTTAAATGTGTTTTTCAGTGATTATAGTTGTATTTGGATGCTACTCACAAAGTGGCTTATGAGTAGTACTAGTAGTAGTATTATTCAACGGAGCGTTGCCTATAAGTTGTAATTAAGGAGAAGAGTTTCAGAAAACTGAGGTACACCACCTGATCAGACTATTTTGAAGATCAGAAAAAGAGTGAGAGAAGATAGTATATAATCTCTGAGCTGGATATTTCGAAACATCCGAGAGAGAGAGAGAGAGGATAGATTTTTTTTCAAACAAAGATGTGTTGAATGGTTCAATTACTTTGATGCATTGAACTTAACCAATCATCATCAGTTTGCAATAAAATAAGCGCGTGGATATTGATGCCTAAACACTTGTTTTTGTATTCGAGATACTGTAGTGAAGGAGAACACACCGGTGACGGCAACCGAATTGTATTTGTCGTAAATGACAGAGTTACTCAGTAAAATAGGAAAACCATATCGTAAACGGTTAATTTGCAAATCTTCAATCCATCATCAATCCATTGTCTGACATTTCACTATTCATGAGTTTCATACAAATTCCATTGTGTTCCCCCCACTCTTCGTTTCTTGATCTTCCCCCATCTTCTGCTGCCAGATATTATGTTGACACTCACGTCATATACTACTTATAAGTAGCTCGCACCACACTGTGTGATAATGTCGTATGGCAACTTGAACTGTTGTACGTATGTACGAAATTCTAGCGGACTGACTGACTGACTGACCGAAACAGAAAACACCAACCATATTTTCAATGATGAATATATCTGACTTTCTGTTTTATTTCCTGTTATGTTGTTCTTGTGTTTTGCTTCTCTAAGTGAAATCCGAGGCGTCGGCAACGAACGACGCTAATGCTGCTGATGACGATGATGATGAATCTATGTCATACTCTCCAGATGATAATTATCCTACAACGTCGAACAGTACTCATTCCAGTGGTATGTCATGTTATAATACTGTCTTTACTTTACTTTACTGTATTTATTTTGAATTTCTGCGACCAACTAAGTGGATATCAGCGTTTAGATTAAGTTCTTGTTATGTTAATTATGAATAGGGATATTCTTGTGTATATTGATTTGTTGCTGTTCAATTGACAGTTGAGAAAGTTTGCTTGATGTGCTTGTATTAAATATTCATTGGTGAATTTAAGTTATGGGTACTTGAGGAGACCTATATCTGATTAGGTAGTATTGGAAGTATGAACTGACCAAAAATAGGCGGTTATTGGAAACCTGAAAGCATTAGACGATCGTTTCGTCCTGTTATGGGACTTATCAGCAGTGCTCATCCACAGTTTTTGCAAATGGGAATCAAACGCCAGGAACTCACTCCAAACGTTTTGACGACTGAGTTGGCAGTGTTAATGTCTAACCTGTAGTGCCTCCACATATACTTGAATTCGCTTACATTTAATTTGGTCAATCCTTTCGATTAATATATTTAACCAAGCCATTTGTATAACAATAACTTATATGTACCGTTGATATTTTTTATTGTGTGGTTTGTATGAGCTTGTTATGACTGAAAATTGTTTACACCTACGCGCATATTCATCCTATTCGCTTTAATATTAATCTCTTGAATACCTCTATGACTCAGATATCTTCCTATGTATATATACCAACATTTTAATCTTGTTAATACTCATTCGTACACTCGCACATTCGCTTGCTAGTGTGCCTGCTCGGTCTGCTTGTGGTCTGCTATCCCTATTTGTGGTTTGTCAAAATAAACGTATTCAACACTTCGAATTCACTTTCTGATTTACAAACCGTCAGACGCTATTTAGTAACGATTGTCTGGACGAGCTAATTAAGAAGATTAAGAACTCGTCGAAATCGGTCATCTCAAATCTACGATATATTTCATGATCATCTTGCATTATCTTTTCTGAGTAACTGCTTTATGTCCGAAATGGATTGAACTCCATTGGTCATCGCTTCTCACTAGAATTCCCTCACAAAACTAATCACTAATGAGCACAAGATAATTATCAGTATGAAGATTGTGAAGATTGTTGATCTCCTGATCTGTTATTGGTCTATAATCAGTGTGCAACAACGTAGAACTTCGTACCTGTACGTGCATCAGTCCAGGTTGCCATACCACATTGGTACAGAGATGGACTTGTTATTTCCAATCCCATTCTAATAGAGGTAGTAGGAGTATCAGCTGTAATCTGAAAAACTAAGGTTTGAAGATGTTATTCAAGGAGTGTAATCCAGTAAAATAAATTTAGAAAGAGGAAAAAGATCCTGGGTAATTCAGAAGACTAGAAGCCATGTCGGTAATTGTCGACTACCTGGTTGGGGTCCGCGAGATGATAATAATCGATGGTTAGAGATCTTGAATAATGACATGGCTCAAAATCGTTCGCAATGGCGCCGATGCATTTATGCTTTGTGTTCTCTCAAATCCTAATCTTCTAGATTATTCAAAACCTCTAATTTTGACTTTCTAAACTTTTCTCACTGAATCATACTTGAATAATATCTTCTAATCCTAACCTCTCCGATTACTCCTAATACCTTTACTACCTCTTCTACTATTGGATTTGAATTGACAATTACATCTCTGTGCTGATGTGGTATGGCAACATGAACTTATTTACATACGTACGAAGTTCTACGTTGCAACTGACTCTGACTGAGAAGACTAGAATTCGAGAGAACACAACGAATGAATGCACCCGCGCCGTTACAAGCTATTTCGAGCTATGTCATCTAAAATCTCTAACCATCGATTACGATTGTCTTGTGGACCCCCAACCAGGTAGTCTACATCTATTAACCTTGCTCAGTCCAGTTGTCGATGACTGCACCTAGCTTTCTTCCAGTCTACTCCTACATTTCAAAACATCGCTTGTCGGGGTAATCATTGATTAGGCATTTTCTAACACATGTCCCAACCGCCTTAACTGATGAAGATTCACTAACCTCCATACATGTATTAATTAACATAGGATTTTGAATAATTGGAATTCGATTGTGTAGCTTTAAAAATAGTAATTAACTGTTTATCAATTGATTTTTTCTCGATGATCAATTTTTTTGTGATGAAGGTCATTTTCAAATCTGTACAGATTTCTGTTTTTAAAAAAATGCTATTTTTCGATAGTTGTTCGTTCACATTCTACTAGAGAAACTTGCTTTAAAATGCATGTGTCAAAGTTGCTTATCGAACACTGTAACATCAAACCAACGGCATCAGTCGATTTATTTAAGGTTTACGGTTTATATGATGACTGTGTATTTGTCTGTCCATATTGCTAAGAAATTCCAAGCTAAAATGAGTCATCTGTCTCATGCTCTCTTGTTTTTGATGATTCTTATTATGATCTGAGATTTGATCGCGATCCGTACTGCTCAGCAGTTCGCTCCGTTCTCCTATATGGCTGTCAAATATGGCCGTTAAGAGTAGAAGATATTCGTAGGTTACTAGCATTCGATCACAGATGGATTGCTCGTGCATCGTGGGACAACCGAGGAAGGAAACGGGTGCTATGTAAGGGTGGCAGGTCAAGAGATGAAGTGGTGAAACTTCATCAGTTGGAGGTGGTTGGGACATCTGTTGCATATGACTAACCACCAACGGCCTCGACGAGCTTTGTTTTGTAGTGTAGGAATAGGTTAGAAGAAAGTTAAAGGCGGCCAAACCAAAACATGGCAGAAATCCATGAAATCACTGACTAGTGGACTGAGTCATGTTGGTAGATGTAGACTACCTGGTTGGGGTCCGCGAGACGAAAGTCACCAATGGTTAGAGACCTTGAACGACATGGCTCAAAATCGTTTGCAATGGTGCAAGTGCATCCATTGTTTGAGCTCTCTCAAATCCTAATCTTCTGGATTAGCCAGCACCTCTACCTTTGTCTTTCTAACCTTATCTCACTGAATTATACTTCTTGAATAATATCTTCGAACCCTAGTCTTCTTCATTACCATTAATACCTCTACTATCTTTATCACTATGGGATTTGATTTGACATCTGCGTCTTTGTGCTAATGTGGTATGGCAACATGAACTTATGTACATACGTACGTAGTTCTACGTTGCAACTGACTGACTGACTGACTCACCTTTAAACTGACTACTTGACCGAGAAGACAAGAGTATATACATATATTCATGTCGCCTCCATAGGAAATGATTCCATTTTTTGACAAGTGATATGCATCCGTCTTTAAGGACATTTCTAATGATCATTAAGTGACTTTCAAGTTCGATCACCTTTGATTGGTTCATTATATCAATTCTCTAGTGAATGTTATTAATAGTAGTTTTCTGCCAAATATCATTTTCACACTTTTTACACAACACAGATGTAAGTGGACAATAGTGTTGTTTTCAATTTTGAGATTGTCATCAGGCTTTACTCTCTAATATTGTACATGAATATATATACGGAAATCGAATCCTGTGGAGATAGCTATATCTTTAATCAGTGATTGTTAGACCACCATTAGAAGTCCGGAAGCACAGGATGGGCCGATTTCGTCCTACTATCATACTTATCTGCAATGCGCATCCACAGCTCATTCTATTCGCATGATTCAGCGCTGTTAGGTGTAGGCAGTAACTACCGAAGACAAATGGGTGAGGTCTCGCAAAATCCCTAGATTGATCAAAGTTGGACATGAACACCGTTGGATGATAACGGCTCAGTGGTCCAGAGGTGTTATACGTTTCTAATGGTGGTCTTACAATAATTGATTGATGAGTTCAATGTGTAAAAACACTATTCTCCATAACTCTAAGTAAGAAAATAGTTATATCTGGCTTACTACGCGGAACTTAACCAACGGATGAGTGAATATCCGGCAGCATGGTTTATGAAGGACCGGATAAATAATAAAATACGTAGTTCTGTCTTGGCACAGCTGATTGATAGCGGTCATAATATGGCTGAAACCGGATCATTTCGAGTAATCTATCGTATACTTGCATCCATCATTTCCCAACGGCGTACAATCCCACCCTCCTACATATTGAATAGAAGCCAATAGGAATTCGAACATTCAAACCCCAATGTATGCGTTCAGAGGGAAAATTGTGACACTCTTATCCTTTCATTAGCCAGATATAAAACTTAATGAAGGATTTTATTCTCACATCCTCTTTTTGTGTGTAATTTTCCACTTCTGTCCGTTTCTATTCTTCACTATCTAATTATGTTTGCACTTCTTATTACGTAATTCTAATAAAGTTTTGTGATTACTATTTATCCACATTTGACCTAATACTTCTAATGTTGAACTGTTAACTGTTATCACAAATCGTACACCTGTCAGTCTACTATCAACTTGTACTTTTGACCTATTGTGGTGTGTGCTACTTATACGATCGATATAAGTAGTATAAGAATGGACGTGAAAGAAGATGTCTTACGGTCAGAAGAGGAAAACGGAAAGCAAATAGAGCAAAAGCAAGAAAGATTTAGAGCACCGACAGGAAGTAAAGGAAGCAACAGCAGGAATGGAGGAAGGCTGGAGCGTTGGAAGTCAGGACTCAAAGATGGTGTGCAAATGGAGTGTTCAATGTAATGTTATCGTTTTTAATTGACTAAGAGTGTAAATTTGCCAAATACAATCTATCGAGCCTGCCTCAGTCTTCTCAATTGGTGTCGCTGCCTCCACACAGGATGAAGATACCATGGCCTCGGGAGTTTGAAGACGGAGATGTAAGGAGCTTCTTGAAGGAGTTCGAGGCTGTGGCGGAGCTGGTCGGAGTCAAGGAACGGAAGGCGAAGGCGGTGGTGCTGGGGACTCTACTAAGAGGCAGGGCGAGAGCGGTGTACGATAGTGTGGAGGACGCTGACTGGAAGGCGGTGACGGAAAGGCTGCTGTTGGAGTTCGACAGCCCGGCGGATAGGCAGGACGCGCTGCAGAAGTTCCGAGAGGCGCGGCTGTCGGTGGACGGCGACCCACTCGTGCTGGCCGTGGAGTTGACAAGATTGCTGCGCCGGGGTCTGCCGAATTTGGATGAGGAGTCGCAGGCACAGCTGCTAGCCTCGCAATTCATTGAAAGTGTGCCTGCAGAGATTGGCCAACAGTTGAGACTGGTGAACGCGGCACAACCAATGGACGTCACCGAGCTGGCGAAAGTAACAAGACAACTGATGAACTCAACAGTCGCCTCGGTGGCGTGTGAGAGACAGGCTGATGATGTCGTGAAGAAGATAGAAGAATTACAACGAGAGGTGGCAGCGTTACGAATAAAGGGTGAAAGAAATAATAAATGCTACATTTGCGGAGGAACCGGACATTGGAAGAGGAATTGCCCAACAAGACGAAGACGTAAATATTTTAGACCATACACAAGTTGTTCTTTATGTCTTTCGAAACTGGGGGTTTCGGCATTAGTAGATAAGGGGGCGGTCTATACGAGAGTAGGGATAAACGAGCGAGAGGTAGTTTGCCTGATTGATACAGGGGCGGCAGTTTCGTTAATAGACAAAGAGCGGTGTAGAGGTATCAGGCCGAGTGCATTAGTTGTTAACACCATCGGCGGCCACGTGTTAAAAATCCTCGGAGTCTCAAATGATATCGTGAAAATCGGCAGTTCGAAAATACAGTTTCCCTTTGTAGTGACTACGAACTTGTCGAGACCAATACTAGGAGCAGATTTCTTGAGAGAAGTAGGAGCAATTATTGATACAAGAAGTAAGAAGGTGATTACAAAGTACGGCACACTGACAATACATGAAAGCAGCGAGGTGGCTGAGGTTAGAGTAGCAAAAGAGGACATTGGAAAGAAACAGAACATTAACGAGGTGCTCACAAAATATAAGAAGTTGTTCACGGGAGACGGAGAACCGTACGGGTTTTGTAATAAAGTCAAACATGAAATTCCGATAAAGAACGAAGAAGTAACCATCTTCACAACACGACGGGTCCCCGTACATTTGGAAGCTGAGATAAACCAGCAGGTACAGGAGATGTTAAAAGCAGGTATAATTGAAGAAGCAGATAGCCCGTACAGCTCACCGGTACTTTTGGTAAAGAAGCCAAATGGAAAGTATAGATTCTGTGTTGACTTTAGAGAACTGAATAACGTGACAGAAATAAAACCATGTGCAATGCCAACAATAGCGGAGACATTAGATCGTCTACAGAGTGCTACGGTGTTCACAGTGTTAGATTTACGGTCGGGCTATTGGCAGCTACCAATAAAAGACAGTGATCGCAGCAAAACGGCATTTATCGTACGGGAGAAGCAGTATCAATTTAAACGAATGCCCTTTGGATTGGCGGGCGCACCCTTTACGTTTCGAAGACTAATGACATTGCTGCTCAGAAACCTGGAGAATGTCGAGGTTTATGGCGATGATTTGGTCGTATATAGTCGTACAGAGGCAGAACATGTGAGGCACGTGGAGGCGGTCCTAAGGCGAATTGATGAGTTTGGTTTACGAGTTAACAAAGACAAGTCTCAGATAGCGAAAAGAAGCGTCACGTTGCTGGGGCATAAAGTAGGCAATGGAGAAATAAAACCACTGCCGGAGAAGATTCTAACGATAAAGAATATTGCAGTTCCCAACTCAAAAAGGAAGTTAAGACAGTTCCTGGGAAGAGCGGCGTTCTACAGCAGATTCGTGAAGAACTTCAACGATATAGCAGCACCTCTATATAAAGTGCTAAGCAATGCGAAGTTTACGTGGACAGAGACCGCTCAACAAACTTTCGACCGAATCAAAGAGCTGTTAGATGACCGCCAAATGACGCTGAGACTGCCGGAACCCGAGAAGCCATTTACAGTGACCACTGATGCGAGCGATCACGGTATAGGCGCCGTCTTGAGGCAGTCTGACAGAGTTGTGGAGTTTGCCAGCCGTGTCCTTACGCCGACGGAACAGAAGTATTCCACAGTAGAAAAAGAGTGTTTAGCGATTGTATGGGCGGTAGACAAATGGAGACCGTATCTACTGGGTCGGCGATTTCACATCGAGACGGATCATAAGCCCCTACAATGGTTAAAAACAGCAAAAGACCCTCGGGGGGAGTTGGCTCGATGGATGCTACGTCTGCAGGAGTATGATTTTAGTATCGGGCATGTGCCAGGGGAGGAAAATGTAATGGCAGATTATTTGTCAAGACCGGACACCGAAGCCGAACTTCCAGAGATAGCGTGTGCAGTTAACGGCCTAGAGGGAGATCCCCTAGAACTCGTCCGGCATCAGAAAGCCGACCCTAACCTTCGGGAGGTAATCAGAGTGATAAAAGAGGGAGAAGATGTTGACAAGAGTGGAACAGATAAAGAATTAACAGTGTTGCTGAGGCAGAAGGAGAGACTGAGAGTGAACGGATACGGAGCCTTGACCTGGCGGGATGATGACGAGAATTGGGTAGCAATAATCCCAAAAGATCTGCGCCAGGACATGATTCGTGAATGTCACCAGGTAGCGCACACAGGTATTGCACGGACAACTGATTTGCTGCGACAAAGTGCGTACTGGCCAGGTATGAGAGACGATGTTGCACGATATGTATTAGCGTGCCAGCGATGTCAACTAATGAAAGGGGATCGATGCATACGACCGCCATTGCAGTCAATTCCAGTAACAGTAGTTGGTGATTTGTGGTGAGTAGATATTATGGGACCGTTCCCACAGGCGACAAGTGGTAACCAGTAACTGCTGGTGATGACTGAGCATGCCACACGATGGGTAAATGCCGTGCTGATGGCGGACCAACGTGCAAGGACGGTGACGGAAGCGGTAATGCGGCACATTGTGGCTGACCATGGGATACCAAAGACAATATTAACCGATCAAGGTCCCGGTTTCGAGAGTGATGAGTACAAGTCCTGTCTAAAGCAGTTAGGACTCAAGAGAGTACGAACAACGCCGTATCATCCACAGACGAATGGGTTAACGGAAAGGAATAACCGAACGCTAAAGGAATGGCTAGCATCTAAAGGGGGTGACTGGGAGAAAGAATTACCATTAATCTTGCTGGCACATCGTGCCTCGGCACAGGGAACAACCAGGAAGTCACCGTTCCAGCTGATGTATGGCAGACGGCCGAGACTACCAACGCATGATAAAACCTGGCCGCAACAACAGAGATGGAATACAACAAGATTGAGAACAGAGCGGAGACAAGCAATCAGGAATGTGAGAGAGAAACAAACATCAGACATGCAGAAGTCAGAACAGGAGAGAAAGAACTGGAGACCGTTTGAAGTGGGAGACCAAGTGAAGTGTAGAGAACGGAAATGTACCACAGGAAGAGGGCCAGGGTCAGGTAAGCTGATCCCGAAGTGGGAGGGACCGTACGTAGTAACCGAGAGGCGCGGCGCAGTGTATACAATCCAGAAAGGAAACAAACAGAAACGCGTGAATGCCAGTGAACTCCAAAGGTGGTTCCAAGTGCGCCAAGAGGGCGAGCCACAAACACTGATAAAGAAGACGGCTGTACGGAGATCAGAAAGGCTGAGAGAGCGACTTGTTAAAGGGGGGACGAGTGTGGTGTGTGCTACTTATACGAACGATATAAGTAGTATAAGAATGGACGTGAAAGAAGATGTCTTACGGTCAGAAGAGGAAAACGGAAAGCAAATAGAGCAAAAGCAAGAAAGATTTAGAGCACCGACAGGAAGTAAAGGAAGCAACAGCAGGAATGGAGGAAGGCTGGAGCGTTGGAAGTCAGGACTCAAAGATGGTGTGCAAATGGAGTGTTCAATGTAATGTTATCGTTTTTAATTGACTAAGAGTGTAAATTTGCCAAATACAATCTATCGAGCCTGCCTCAGTCTTCTCACTATTATGTAAAGTTACGTAATCTATTTCATTATGATTACTGACTTATAAATTTCCTTGATTGGTTGAACATTATAACATTCATGTATGTTGGAGAGAATGAAGCCTGATAACGATCTGTAATTGGTAAAACACTGTTTACTTTATCATGGATATAAAGTGAATTCAACTTTGGATCTGTCTTAGTAGAACCCAGTTATTCCTATTGCTCATAGTATTCTAGGACATCAAACCACTCAACAAGTCCCCCAAATCAGAACACGGTTGAACAGGAAATAGAGATTATATTCCAAAACGCAGCAAGGTTAAATTGGACGTAAGAAGCCGAAGCGAAGGCAAAATACGAACAACGTTAGTATTTTTATAGTTTTCTTACATGAGAAACTTATAGAATGTTCTTCGAGTATGGACTAGCGCTGATTGGATAAGATTTAGCCAATCAGAGAGCAGCTAATGCAGTCATGCATTAATCCATCTATGTCCCGCTAACAGCACCAAAATTAACAGATTAATTCACATGATATTTACCTTGTTACGTTTGGGTTTTTTTTAAAAAAAAATTAAGTTAGATTGACGAATTTTCTATTGCATATTGTAGACCATACAAATTATCATCTTGATGAGGCCACAACATACAAAATTGAAGCGCCCAATTCATCATCATCGTCGACTCTTCCGAAACGTCGTAAACAACGAATATCCAATAATGCTATGGATGAGGCGACTTTGATTGGTAGGGTTTTTTTTTCCAAGTCATTTTATGATTGGTTATGTTTAAACGTTGATGTGTTCGTGCTGACTCACCCCCTGTGATGGTGTTTTGTTCTCTGAGTTGGATGTTTTTTCGTTGTGGAGCTTTCCTTGTTCCGCTAAACAACATCATCAGCACACACTTCAAGTAGAAGTGAAGTATTCGAACTTCTCCAAGTTTGTGATCTGTAACATGTTCTGTTAACCTCAATCTTGATTGGTTGCTGTTGACCTTAAACCTGTCGTTGTCTGCAGTTTTATTTCGATTGTATCCCCCTTTTTATCTCTTTCTTGATCCTATGTCACTTATGATTTTTCTGATTGGTTGATAAATTGGGTCAATGTCGATGTGTTTGTTGATTGCTGATTGACCTGAGTGTCAAGCTTCTAAAAATTGCATGGTGTTCTTCGTGTTCCCCCTATCCAGTATTTCCACATTGTTCCAATCGAATGTATGTCCTTATAAGCGAAGAATCGTCGTATCCTTTGACTGCTAACTGATGTCCTCGTAAACGAACCTGAAGAGGACGTCCACCTTGTCCTATACAGTGTTTTTCACAATCTCAGCAATTTATTTTGTAGATGATATTTGGTTTTTCTTCATTTGTCATTTTGTCCTTTGGTCTACATAGGATTGATTGAAGTGATTCTGTTGGTTTGTGTGCCACACCTATTCCAAATGGTTTCAGTAGTCATGCTGTATGTTCCGATATGTCTTTTATGTATGGTAAGATGATCCGTTTCTTAGTTCCGGTACTTGATTTCGCTTCTGTTGACGATTTCAGTTGATGTTTTTTTTGATGAAGTTGCGTAGATAACCGTTCTTTTGGAAGTTAGCCATACGATGTTTCTTCTCGTTTTTTAGTGCCTTCATATGTGGTGCACTGTGTCTTCGCTTTCTTGAACAAAGTTTGTATGCAGTTGATTTTGTTTGGTATTTCCCCCCCCTAAATGCCCCTGGTATGGACGAGACTGAGGCGAGTCCATCATCCCTCTAGAAAACGCTCCACTGTCCGGGATGTTTAAGTCGCTGCCTTGTCATAGAACATGTGTTGTTTATGTGGATTGAAAGAATGGAAAGCGGAGGAAGCGGCGCTTGAACCTGGTTGTGGACGCAAATATGTTGATTTCGAACAAACCATGCAGATGGACTCCAGATCCCTGGTGGGACGAATGGCTTTTTTGCCTATTTTTGGAACTGACATTATTCCATCGTATTGTGAATTAGATTCATTGAGTCAAAGACTCAAGGACTGACCTCTTAGAGAAAGCCATCTGCTTCGATCTGGGTAGCGAGACAAACAGCGGCGAAGATATATAATTTGGTGCCACTGTGTGCCAATAATTATGTGCTTGGTTGAGTTGTGTACTCGATAGTCTTAGTGAAATAAAAAGTTGATAATTACAGTTGCTGGTTATATATGTCATTTGTTTATTGATCTGTATGTGATATGATCGTCGATTGATATGCTTGAATGGTATTACGAGTTCATCTTACTCGCTAAACGGAGCGAAGATCAACGATGCGGTGACACGGTGGACTATTCTAATCAGATTGTCCCAGGCCCCGTTAACAAAAGCAAGAAGTTTTGACAAGGAGTAGAGAAAATACGAGGTTGCTAAGCACTCAACTGAAGCTTATTTATACAATGATCGAAACACCCAGTGTGTGTAATCTCGCAGGACGAACTTAACGAATCGATACATTCTTTTGTCTTCCTGTCAAGAAATACCCAAGTTTTCTACATGAAACGAGTTGTCAGACAATATGACAAGCAAGAAATTACGATTCGATACAAAAGTAGAACAACTGAGTAATAAATTACCATTAATGAGGGTGATTTTTGGAGATTGTGTTATTTTCATAGTTAAAATAGCTGAGCTGATCTAAGCTGAACCACTCTTGTGAACCGGGAAGCGCTGGAGGGCCGTTTCTTCTCAGTACAGAACTCCTTAGCTGTGTGTATCCACGAGCTACGCCTGAGGAAATAAGCTTAGTTATTCAGAGGTGCAGCGTTCGCATGTGTGACTCGAAGTCTCTGAGTTCGATTTCCGTATGCATAGATTATGAATGCGTACTACTACCACTGAGGAGTCCCATACTAGAAAGAAATAGCCGTCCAGTGCTTGCACGTTCCTGGTGGTATTCTATCTTAAGCCGGTTCGTGAATTCAATATTATTTTTTCTGGTAACCTTTTTTTTAATGGGATGGGGTCGCCAACTCCATGCCCAATCCTCCTCCCTTATCTGGGAGGATGACTCAGTGACCTGGTAAGCTATTCTAATCCGATTGTCCCAGGCCCCGCTAACAAAAGCAAGAAGTTTTCATTAAAGGAGTAGAGAAAATATGAGGTTGCTAAGCACACAACTGAAGCTTATTTATGCGATGATCAAAACATCCTTGGGAGAGCCACAAAATAGTGTACTAATATAATCTGTCAACCAATGACGGTCAAGAATTTTCCTGGTGGGAAATGTAAGCTGTAGGTCAACTAAGCGTCTCTTGGCGCGAAAACATTAAAAATTCAAATTTTCAGAAATAATTTACAAAATTAAGACATTTTTCCAAATGAGTTCTGGGCAACCGAACGTCCCCAACAGTTTGGTTAATAGAAAAAGTTAAAGAATGAAAAGTTAGATTAGTTCGAGTAGTAGTACACCGTATACCAATCGTAATGAAGTATAATACATTAGTCACTGATTTATTGACACAGCTTGGCTTAACTTCCTGAAACTTGTTCCTTCATCTATTGACTCCAGAAATCCCTTTGCAAGATACCATAGCTGTCTAGTAAAATTATAATCGACTTCGTGAGTAAGCATCTAACATCATACCACCATTTAAAGTAAAACACACACATATGTATACTCAAGTTCTGCTATCATTATAACTGATCGACTTAGGGAATTCTATACATTGTATGTTGTTAGGATATTCATCAAATATCCTAAGAGAATTATTGGTTAATTCCTGCTGGTCAATATTATGGTCGTCCTAGATATCAATGTCACATATTTCAAAGTTGTTTCCTATAAGTCGTCTAAACTGTCAATGTCACAGACTTTCTATTCAACCTAACTGTATCAATACGCATTATCTGTAATCTGGACCCTATGTTCCAGGTTCCCTAGTCTGGGATCCTTAGCCTCTTCTGTAGTCGGACCTCGTACTTTCTGGATGCTTGTAGAATACACGTCCTACTTCATATCAAATCTTCTTTTACTCAATGAGGGGGGGGGTTGGTACACTCGAATCAGAGTAGATATGTCATGTCGCCGGATCCTCGGTCTCGTTTTCCGACTAGGGTAAACTCGTAATAGTTCAAGCATATCAAGTTGACGTGTTGACGTGCATACGTAACATATGTATAATTTACGAATTTCTAAACTTTAGTAGTAATAACTATTTAACTTATTCAATTCTATATTCATTGTTTTTCTAATATTTATCAGCTCTTAGACCATTCAAATGTGACGAGTGTGGTAAACGATTGGAAAAGGCTCGAACTTTAAGGCTACATAAATTATCAGTTCATCAAGGTAAGTTGAAGAATTTGCAAAAAAAATTTGATTTCTGTTCTGTGATATTGTCGTGTCTAAAAAAAATCTGAACATGATATGAGCTAAAGCCCACCCCCCCCCTTTGAACTGACTAATTGAGCAAGAAGGCATCAGTGAGAGAGAAAGGCCATTTGGCTGCTGACTCTCTAACTAGAAAGTAAATCCATTGTTTATCCAATGATATACATTCATACTTTAGAACAATTCTGATTGTCATCAAACGAGTACTAAGTGTAAGGATGGCAAATTACCAGATGACGTATTGAAACTTCATCAGTGGAGGTGGTTGGGACATGTTTTGCGAATGCCCAACGACCGACTGCTTCGACGAGCTATGTTTTGTCGTGTAGGATAAGGTTGGAAGAAATCTAGCAGAGGCTAGACTAGCATATGATACAAATCCATGGAGACATAGATAGCTGGATTTGATATAACAATTCAATCTTTGTTCGCTATGGTGGTACGGCAACTTGAGCAGGTGTACGTTCGTCTCTAGGTATGCTTAAACTATAACGAGTTCTTCTTAGTCGAATAACAAGAACAAAACAATGAACCAGAGTCCAGGTAGGCTATTGTGATCCCTTGACCAAACTTTATCAGCAAGAAGTCTTGATACAGCGTAGAATGTGTATTCTACAAACACAATCAACCCAAGCACACAAATTGCGTTTATTTATACTCTATAGAGACGTCCTTGGGACAGTCACAACTAAAACACACTAAAGTGACACAGTAACCAGTCAAAGCTAAGGATTTTCCTGGTATGGAATGTGATCTCAAGGTCAACTGATCGGTCCATGGGCAGTGCGCACTTACAACTCCCTCATAACTTTTTTTTTGTGTTTGATTAAAGCTAGAACATCAGTGATATTGATACACAATAATGAGATGAATTTATTTTCACTTGGTGGTTTCTCATCCGTTATTTACAGCCATCTGTATTATAATAGGGTGTAACAATGAGATTATGATATAATGCGAAGTAGTTGACAATGATTACGTAACAAACTAGATAATTACCATCTCACTGTAAGCCGTGTATTTTTTTAAGTCTTATTTCCAAGTTATCTAAGATTTAGGTAAACCTATTCGTAATTATTACGCTTACTTACTTACTTACGCATGTTACCCCCAAAGGAGCAGAGGCCGCCCACCAGTTTTCTCCAAACTACTCTGTCCTGGGATTTACTTTCTAGTTCTTTACAGTTTTTGTTCATTATTCTCATGTCTTTCTCTATTTCTCGGCGTAATATTTTCCTTGGCCTTTCTCTTTTCCTTCGACTTCGAGGGTCTTAAGTGAGGACTTGTCTTGTGATGCAGTTAGTTGCTTTACACAATAACTCTCCTATTCACTTCCATCGTTTCTTCCTGATTTCTTCTTCCACTGGAATCTGGTTTGTTCTCTCCCACAGTAAGTTGTTGCTGATGGTGTCTGGCCAACGAATCCGAAGTATTTTGCGTAGACAACTGTTCATAACTACTTGTATCTTCTGGATGATGGCTTTGGTAGTTCTCCAAGTTTCCGCTCCATACACTAGAACTGTCTTGACATTTGTATTGAAAACCCTGATTTCGGTGTTGATTGATATTTGTTTGGAGTTCCAGACATTTTTCAATTATTACGCGATCCATCTTAACTGTTCTATTCTGTCGTTTGTTTTTTTAAACCAATCTTCAAATGACCTCGCTTCTTTACACGCATATATATATATATATATATATATATATATATATATATATATATATAGATGGTTGAGAGGTAGGGCTCACTAGTTTAGTGGCTCGTCGGCTGACTCATTTACTTGCTAACGTTCGAATATGCTATGAACAAATAAATCTCCCCTTCAGTTCCCGTATACCTATATATTTGGCGAACCCAGTTTATGCGATGACGGTAATCATCGGATGCGAAATGCGGATTCGGTTAGATGAGTTTATTTCTCGCAATCGTTCGTGTTAATAGACAAACGAATATCAAACATTAAAACAGAGTGACGCGAAGTGAAGTGGAGAAGGCGAGCGAGTCACCCCCCCCTCCCGTAATGAAGTGTGACTAAGCATATATGATCAGACAAAAATAACCTAGACATGCAGTTGCAATAAGCGAATTAAAAGCAGTGCACAAACTGGACTAAAAACAACTAAAATAAAATTCAAGGTCGGAATAATAACTCGAATACAATGGGCTCAACATTAAAGTATGTTATTCATGCGAGTTACTTCGCATTATATCGTAGTTCATTGTGGCACTTCATCACATGTATGTTTGTAAGCTGCTAATGAGAAATGATGTGCTGCTACTTGGGAAGTCATATTATTCTTAATACTTGATTAAGTATTTTTTTCTTTCTTATTCTGATTGGTCAAATATTTTTCCTGATTATTTGAAGATAATTAATTGATAACTTAGTGTATATATATTTGAACGATTTCTCAACCATGTACCATTGTATAATCTGTCCATATATTTATGATACATATGTATGTAACGATTTATTTGGAATGATGCACTGATTCACTTTAGACCAGCACCGAATGGCCGTCTCATTTTAGTATGGGATTTCTCAACAATGCTTATTAACAACCCTTTGCAAGGGAGTCGAACCTCCCCTAATCACAAACGTGAACGCTTAACCTGTTGATCACTAAGCCAACATTTAACGCTTTCAGTATGTAACGATATATTGCACAATCATCATTCACCACGGTTGAACTTCACTAGTCATGACTTCTCATTGGAAATTTGAGAATTCCTGCTGGTTCATGGTTTCAGTGTGACTGTGATGGCTTAGTCGAACGTTAATATTTCATAACTATAAGCTTGGTTCATCTAATTTATTTTCAAAACCTGTTAGAACATCAAAAATGCTAAATGTTTTATCAATAGTCATTCATTCAGTCAGTTACATTGTAGCATGTACATCAATTCAAGTTGCCATTACCACATTGTCAATTTAAATCCCATAATAGTAGAAGTTGTAAAAGTATACTTAACAGTAATCTGAAGGACTAAGTTTCGAAGATGTCATTCAAAAAGTATATCCTCAGTGAAATAAACTTATGTAGAAAAAGATAAAGGTGATGAGAAATTCAGAAGATTCAAATTTGAGCGAAGACAAACAATGGATGCGCTTGCGCCATTGCAAACGATTTCGAGCCATGTCTTTCATCAAAATATATCAGAATATTATACTATAACTCATGTCTTACCTACATCATAGCCCAGCTGTTCTAAATTTGCACGATATCATGTGACAAACTGCCCGATTCTTTCAAACTCTTGTGTGTGATATTGTTTATTTAGGTAAAAATAAGTGGGTTGTATATCGAGCTTTTGCCAACTTGCGTCATTTTATGGCGTAGGCGAGATATCCATTTGCTAACAAAAGGATGAATGTACTGCGTAGCAGTTCTCTCCGTCATACTTTATGTCAGTCAAAGTATAAGATATTCGTAGGTTACTGGTTTTCGATCATAGATGTCTCCGAAGCATTGCTTGTGTATCCTGAGACACCCGAGTAAGCAATGCTGTTGTCAGGAAACGGGTGCTGGGTAAGAGTGGTAGATCCATTTATGAAATATTGAAACTTCATCAGTCGAGGTGGTCGGGACACGTGTTGCGTATACCTGATTGCCGACTCCCTTGACGAGCTATGTTTTTCGATGTACAAGTAGGTTGAAAGAAAGTTAGGCGCGTCTAAACAAAACATGGCACAAATCCATGAAGTCATTAACTGCTAAACTGAGTCATGTTGGTAGATGTCAACTACCCGCGAAATGATCGTAATCGATGGTTAAATACCCTGAATGACATTGCTCGGATGCGTTTGCAATGGCGTATTTGCATCCGCTCTTTGCCTTCGCTGAAATCCTAATCTGTATTCTTCATCATTATCTTTCTCTTTTGAAACTTATTTCGCTAGATTCTACTTCTTGAATAGCATCTTCGAATCCTGACGTCTCCGATTACTGCTAGTATTTCTACTATCTCAACCACTATCGGATTTGAATTAATCTCACTGAATTATACTTCTCGAATCATATCTTCGCTCCCTAATCCTCTCCCTTACTCCTAATACTACTACTATCCCTATCACTCTTGGATTTGAACCTACAGTAACGTCTCTGTGCTAATGTGGTATGGCAACGTGAACTGATGTACGTACGAACATACAAAGTTCTGTGTTGTAACTGGCTGACTCATTGACTAGATATCGAGCTAGTGATTGTGTTGTATGTATATAATTCCCTTCTGATCTGTTCATTCATTGAAATTTTGATTTTTTTTAAATGTCAAATTAGGTCATAGACCATTTACTTGTGATATATGCAAAGCTTGTTTTACTCAAAATGGTCATTTGAAACAACATATTCAAACAGTTCATAAAGGTAAGTTATATGTATTTTTAAAAAATTTCTGTATATCCATGATCTTCAATTTTATTGTTGTTAATCTAAAACCGATTTTCGCTTTCTTACTAATTGGGCACCAAAATACTATTAGTACTTATTGAAAGCAGAGATAGTGTACTTGCACCCCTCTACTCCCTCTACTCCACTGTCTTGTCGTGACATACGTGTTGTTTTGTAAAACTGATGTTAGGATATTCATCCACCAATATACTAAGAGAATTATTGGTCAATTCGTATTGGTTAATTCCTACTGGTCAATTTTATGGTCGTCCTAGTAGATATCAATGTCATGTACTCCAATGTTGTTACTTATTGATTGTCCTGACTGTCATTGTCACTACAAATGTTACTTCCTATTAGTCGACTTAACTGTCAATGTCACAGACTTCGATGATGCTTCCTATTCGACCTAAATGGATAAATATGCATTATACGTAACGTTTTATTACCCGGAACCCGGATCCCTAATCCGGGATCCGTTTCTTCTTGTGGACTCGGACCTCGTACTTTCTGGATGCTTGCAGAGTACAGGTTCTACTTCATATCAAGTCTTCTTTTATTCAATCGGGGTTGGGACACTCGGATTAGATAAGCATGTTTTGTCGTTGGATCCTTGATCCTCGCTCTGGTTTTCTGACTAAGCTAAACTCGTAATGGTTCAAGCATATCAAAATGACATGTTCACGTTTATGCGTAACAATTGAGGAGACGAACAAAGCGAGTATCCAGCGTTTTAAATTGAGTTTGTGGGCATGGATGATCTATTCATCCTAGAACAGAGAGAGAGAGAGAGTTGGAAAACCCTGATGTTAACAAACCAATGAGGTGCACACATAGGCTTCAAGATTCCGAGGGAGAACAAATGATGTATGAATCAGTTTTAATAAAATGTATGACTAAATGACAACATCGTTGCAATCCAGTCTCTATTCTTATATATCAACAATAAAAAACTCCAAAGCCGTATAAATTCTGACTAAACAAATGTTTTTAAGTTTACTTACGTATGTGTTACAATGGAAATCTATGATGCAACTGAACGGTGTCGACTTCGCACATGATCTAGCTCTTCTTTCGTACACGCAGTAACAAATGCAGGAGAAGACCACTAGTAGTGTCACAGCAGCCTCAGCAGCAATAAGTCTCCATATACACAATGGGAAAAACAAGATTCTTCGGGACAACACAGCATACACCAACCAAATCACACTTGACTGTGAGTTTTTGTAAGATGTAAAATTCCTTATCTATCTGGGAAGTATCATTGATGAGCACAGTGAATCTGATGCAGATGTGAAGGCGCGGATCGACAAAGCAAGGGCAACATTTCTACGATTGGAGAACATCTGGAACTCAAAACAATTCTTAACGAACACAAAAGTCACAATTTTCAATACAAACGTCAAGGTGGATCTATTGTACAGACCGGAAACTCGGAGAACTATCAAAGCCATCATCCAGAAGATACAAGTATTCATTAACAGTTGTCTACGCAAGACAATTCGTATTCGTTAGCCAGACACCATCAGCAACAACATACTGTGAGAGAGAACAAACCAGATTCCAGTGGAGGAGGAAATCAGGATGAGGCGGTGGAAGTGGATAGGACACACACTACGAAAAGCAGTGAACTGCGTCACGAAACAAGCCACCACATGGCACACGCAAGGCAAAAGCGAAAGAGGAAGGCCAAAGAACACATTACTCCAAGTAATACAGAAAGACATGAGAGGAGTGAATAAAAATTGGACAGAACTGGGAAGGTAAGCCCAGGACAGGACATCATCAGCAACAACCTACTGTTGGAGAAAACAAACCAGACTCCAGTGGAGGAGGAAATCAGGAAGAAGCAATAAAAGTAGATATCACACATCGAGAAAAGCGTTGGAGTGCGTCATGAGGCAAACCCTAACTTTTAATTCTCAGGGCCAAACGGAAAGAGAAAGACCAAAGGACATATTTCGCCGATATATGGAGACAGACACGAGAAGAATGAACAGCAATTATACAGAACTAGGAAGAAAGGTCTAAGACAGAGTAGGTTGGAGAATGCTGGTTGGTGGCCTATGCTCCATTGGGAGTAACAGGCGTAAGTAAGTAAGTGTAGTCTGTAACAACACATTTTCATTACCATCTAATTTTTTAAAGTTTCTGCCTCATTCTATCAATACTGTTGCACTATTTTCCTTATACATAAGAAATGCATTTTCAAATTGTTTCATTCAGTTTTGAAAATATTTACTTTACGGCCTTAATATTTATTAATTTAAATGTGTAAATATTATTACGAAAGGCACCTGAATATACATGCAGCACGCGTTGGGATACTGACCAAAAGAGGGCGGGAAGATCACTCATCGACACTTTGACCCACAAGTTCAATCCTACAAAGCAGTGAAACAACGTTAGGAGATGAAGTCACATGGTGGTAGGCGGTATCCAAAAATAGGATCATACACCATTTGTTGCCTCAGGATCTTGGAGCGTATGTGTGCACCATCGGTTTGATGAAATCAGAGTTTTCCATCTCACCCAAATGGATCCTCCCTACCTTGAAACCCAATTAAACCGCCAGACAGTCATTTTTTGTCCTGTTAATTTTATAAACAACATCATTCCCACGAGAAGGAGTATCTGTCTACACGTGGTCATTCGGAACCATTTGGAGAGAGAGAGAGAGAGAGAGAGTAAAAGGACTCTTCCAACTCTCGTCCGTATCAGATCATACAAAGGCTAAGATTTAGCAATGCACATGATAAATTCTTGTAGAAGTAACTTAGTACAATTCATATTATATATACATATACTTATGTTATACGTAGCCTAGTATGCAAAATGATACACCGTTTTATTATTTCTCTCTTTTTTCAGGATTACGTCCCTATGGTTGTGATCTGTGTAAACGACGTTTCACAAAAGCTCGTTCGCTGAAACTTCATAATTGTGGTAAAAATGGTTGTAAGTTAGTTGGCTTTTTTCTTATGGTTTAGTATTTTTGTTTCATGTAGTTATAGTATACCTACAGGCCTTAAACAAGACTACATGTAATCAATATTTATCCATCGTAGAGATAAGAGAGACATTAGGGGGTGTAGGAAGGATTTGATTTTGACCAATTTGGTCTCGCGTGCTGTTACGGGTATGAGGGCGGTTGTCACTTCCCGGCTGCGCACACCGTGGAAGGTTGTTTCTTGAGGGACCTGAAAAGGAAGATGGATTAGTGTTGGTACGTGACCGCAGAGCCCAAGGGACAACTGCTTGAGGCCGGTCACGCACGGCCTTTTTATGAAAGGTATTTAGAGGATTAGCTCCGTTCTTATAGGCCCTTAGTGGGCACCCTTACCCAAGGAGACGGAAATCCGTGAGGTAGAGGAGGTGGTTGGGACATGTGTTGCGTATGCCCAACCACCGACTGCCGCGACGAGCTTTGTTTTGGGATGTAGGAATAGGTTGGAATTAAGCTAGGGCGGCCAAACCAAAACATGGCAGAAATCCATGAAATCATTGACGAGTGGACTTAGCCATGTCGGTAATTGTCGACTACCTGGTTGGGGTCCGCGAGATGATAATAATCGATGGTTAGATACTCTGAATGACATGGCTCAAAATCGTTCCCAATGGCGACGGTGCATTTATTCTTTGTGTTCTCTCAAATGCTAATCTTCTGGATTCTTCAACCCCTCTAGCTTCGACTCTCTAAACTTTTCTCACTGAATCATACTTCTTGAATAGTATCTTCGAATCCTAACCTCTCCGATTACTTCTAATTCCTTTACTACCTCTTCTACTATTGGATTTGAATTGACGATTACTTCTCTGTGCTGATGTGGTATGGCAACATGAACTGATGTACTTATGTACAAAGTTCTACGTTGCATCTGACTGACTGACTGATATTTATCCATCATTTATCCTATAGTAATACTGACATTCGATAATAATGTGATGTATTGTAAGTGTGGTGGAGGCTCACCAATCTATGTGGGCTGTGTTATGTTGTTCGTCGTTGGGCTCACCAATTTTTTCGGTGGATGAGGGCTCAGCAGTAGTTCTAAAGGCGGTCAGCATTTGACATAATTCCGTAGACATCGGATACTGCTGCGGTCTGATAACTGTTACTAGATAACGCCCAACGTGACAGTAACAAAAGCACAATGGTACAGACAAGTTGTTGCTTTACCAATCACTCTGTCTGTTGAATCAGTTAATCGAAAGGGCTTGACCAAATTACACTTAGACAAACTCAGTTGTATGTGAGGTGCTATATAAATTCTTTTGATTGTTCCTTTAAATCTTCATCTGTCCATCGGGAAAATTCAACGTTCTCTTCTTGAATCATTTTTCAACTAGTTTTAACAATCTGACTGAACAAAGATATCAACTTCATGTTTATGGACTCAAAGCTGCAATGTGCGTTCGTACGGCTGTGTATAGGGAGATTCTGTTCTTCATTCTAGAAATACTCTCATATGGCCACACTTAAATAGTCCCACTGCCGAGTCTTTTATACGAATATTGGGGGCTTACACTGGGTCAGGAAATACGAAGGATCTATCTACGACAGATGTACAATCGTATTTTCAAACCATTAAGATTTTACGAACCCAAAGGGAACACATAACTTAGTGTTGATGATCGGCTACCATAGGACTACGTCTCCCAACGTAACTTCACTAATAGCTTGTGGATTAGACTACTGGTTCACAGACGCTTAGTGTTTGATCTTCTGGGGAAATTGCTTATTTCGGTTTGTGCTTCTAGGCAGTATCCTAAACCACTCACAAATGCATTTATTTGTTTACTAACCTACGCATGTCACCCCTGTTGGAGCATAGGCCGTCGACCAACGAATTAGTTTCCTGGTTAGCGTATTTTTTTTTAAGCGAGTTGAATTTCTACATGTTGCGATCGCTTACTCCATGCCCAAAGTCCTTCCTTTATCCGGTGCAAGACTAGCGGTAACTAGGTGGATTTCTGCACGATTGAGACGAAGAATAAATTGGAACGTGTGAATTTACTGGAAATTCCCATTTATCGATTTTATATTTGTCTTTAGATTATGGAGATATTGACGCATATTTGTCAAGGAGCTCTGAGTGTCACATTCACTAGAATAACAGTTAAATATCACTTCAATAACTCACACGTGATCTATTTGAATCAGAAGACTGCTTTTAGGTTCTATTCAGACATATTATACCATAAATCTTAATAATTCGGTTTGAGTTTACATTCAGGCGGATTAGACAACAACAACACCAACAGTCAATCGTGGAACAGTCTTACACACTCAAAAAATATGAGAGTGAACCCTGACTACTTATAAGTAGTATAGTTATAAAACAGGAATTTTATATCCAGTGTGTGTAATCTCGCAGGGCGAACTTGACGAATCGATCCATTCTATTGTCTTCCTGTTTAGAAATACCCAAGTTTTCTACATGAAATAAGTTGTCAGACAATATAACAAGCAAAAAATTACGATTCGATACAAAAGTAGGACGCTTGCGTTATAAATTACCGTAAATGAAGGTGAATTTTGAGCTGAGCTGATCTAAGCTGAACCACTCTTGTGAAACTGGAAGCTCTGGAGGGTCGTTTCTTCCCAGTAAAGAACCTCTTAACAGTGTTTATCCACGAGCTACATCTGTGAAAATCGACTTAGTGATCCAGACGTTCAATGTTCGCACCCGAGACCCCAAGATCCTGTGTTCGATTCTCACATGCGCGAAATATAAATGCGTACTAATGCTGAGGAGTCCCATACTGGAACGAAATCGCCATTCAGTGCTTGCACGTTCATAGTGATACTCTATCTTAAGCCAGTTCATGAATTCAACATGGAAATATTAAAATCTTTCTATTTCCCCATAGGTAACTTTTGATAATCTGACTATTCGCAATGCGTATTATATGACACCTCTTAGTTTTGAGATTAGTTTTTGGTGTTACTGTTACGATGCGTAGTGTCATTGCTCTGAACATAGTGCACGGTAATCCGCCAAATTGACTACTTGAACGAGGAAGGCAAAAGGTGGAGCGAAAATCGATTCAACTACCGAATCATATGTACGAATCAAGTGATCTTTTCATCGGACCACTTCCGGTTGTCTCACAAATGTCAATAACACATTGTTTTGATACTTATCAGTAAATGATACATAAAAATGACTCGTATTTGTTTCTCAGCTTCACACACACACACACTCTCTCTTTATTCTCCAATACTTTGTTCACATTTTAGTAGCAAAACCATTTGTTTGTGATGTATGTGGTCGTGGTTTTTCACATATGCATACCATGAAAGCTCATCGTGCTTCAATTCATGAAGGTATGTTCCATTGAAAATAATCATTATTGTGATATAGAGTTACTTGTTTATAATATCAATCAATTTGATTTTTATTAGTTCAACTCTCTGTCTAGCCATTGCCGAAGAGTTGCTTACTTACTGCTCTCTGGTCGTGTCACAGCTGTCAGTTCGTCAGTCACTTAGTTAGCTTCAATGTAAGACTTCGTATGTACGTACATCAGTTTGAGTTGGCATATCACATAAGCACACAGAGAGTGAAAATTATTAGTCTGAATCGCACAGTAGTAAAAATAGTAGCAGTATTAGTGGTGATGGAGAAGTTTAGGGATCGATTATATTATTCAAACAGTATAATCCAGTGAAATGAATTTAATTAACAAGAGAAATTAGAAGGCAATGAGGATGGATGCACCCTTACCAGTGCAAACGATTTTGAGCCATACCATTTGAATTCTCTAACGAAGATCCAATGGAGAGAGGATCCACCTACGTGAGTTGAAATGGCCTCATTACGCACAGGCTCCATAATCCTGAGGTGGGGGGTCACTGACTGTTATGCAACTTCATTTCTTAACGTTAGTCAACTTTTAGATTAGACTTACATGTTAAAGTTTCCAGTAGTATCTCGATTGAAAAAATTTTCTTGTCACATGTACAGTATTCCATCCTCTTCACAAATCAAATGCTTTGTGTGTCATATAAATATTTCAGTGCTCGTTTTTATCAATGAATTTTTTGAATTGTATACAAACTTGTTGACTGTCTCACTTGTGGTTGGGACATGTGTTACGTATGCCCAACCACTGATTGCCTCGACGAACTATGTTTTGTGGTGTAGAAGTAGGTTGGAAGAAAGCTAGGAGCGGCCCGACAAAAACATGGCAGAAATCCATGAAGTTATTGACGAGTGGACTGAGTCATGTTAGGAGGTGTAGGCAACCTGGTTGGGGTACGCGAGACGATAGTCACCGATGGTTAAGACCTTGAACGACATGGCTCAAAATCGTTTGCGATGGCGCAGGCGTATCCACTTACTGTGTTCTCTCAAATTCTTACCTTCTGAATTCCTCATCATCTCTATCTTTCTC